GTTAGTTGTTGCTAAGTTCTGCAGCAATTACAATAAGAATAATTTATTAGTTTTCTCTCTGTTGCGCACTCAACAGCACTCAGTGAGGTAGGGAAATATTCCACTTTAATGAGGGAGTAGAAGCCAAAACGTAGCCATTTGCTCCAAAGACACCTAGTGGATTCTTGGCCTAAGTAGGACTTGAACCCCTCTGTGTCTGGCCAATATTTGAACAGCCAGAGCTGATGGGAACTCCTAGCCCAAAAAGGTGAAGGGCACAAAGTTGCCTGATCCTTTCCTAAAGAGGTTCGGCTACAGCTACCTCTTAAGATTGTTACTTGTGCAATGTTTCCATAGAATTTTGGACAGTAATTGAGGCCCAAAACATTGGGGGGGGGACAAGAGACATAAGAAAGCAGTGACTCCAGACATCCCTCAGTGCATTTTGGCAGGAGAGGAAAACAGAATATTAAACAGTACAGGAACTTCTATGGCTGCGGTTTCTCCCTCTCTCTCTCTTTTTCAAATCCACAAATTTTAGGGATGGTAGCTAAATGTCTCTATTGAGCAGGGAGACCTAGTGGACTTGAAACCTGGATCAGTGTTCTCCATGTTTGATCTTAACCAAAAGGCCAGGAAGCTATCAATGTTATCAGCAGGGCTGACTCTGTGTTGTTTGGTGTCATGAAAAGGAACTACAGTGTCCATTATTAACTGCTTTTCAAGGTTTACATCCCAGGGTGAGATGAGCACTGTTGTCTTTTTAGGTGACAAAATGACTGGGTTGGACATAAGTACTATCCACCATGACTTGTGGGCTGGGATTATCTTCTGAACTTTCTGAGGCAGTAAAATGTCTTAAATGTCTATCTGGATCAGATAGGCGGCCAAGGCCAACAAGTGGACTGGCCACAATGTCACCGTTGTGCAGAGGACCAACACACAGCCCTTTGACTTGCAGGTCTACCACCCCTCCCGCCAGCCTCAAGGTGAGAAAGAAACCTGAGGAGAAGGAGGGCAGGGAAAGGGCCAGGTTGCCAAATAGGCAATTCTGTGGAGGCAGGGCTGATGCTGGGTGCATCCACAGCTGCGGTTTAGGTCACCGGGCCCAGACCCGGAGAACTTTCGTTGAGCTGGGAGAGTGCCGACTTGAAAAGACAGTATGGGGTTGGAGCGTCTTCTGCTGATTCAAGGATAGGACCAT